ACACACACACACACACATATATATATATATATATATATATATATATATATATATATATATATATATATATGTGTGTGTGTGTAGATTCATATTTATGTATATAGAAGCATATACGCGTATAAAGATACATATACATGGGTATAAACTCTACGAGTCTGATGATCAGCCCCCTCAATCCACACCCATATCACTATCGGTGTCGCTGAACAGATCGGAGAGTGCATCGTTTGATGTGGTTGGTTTGGCCATAGTTGTGGGGTCGCCTGGGGCGAGTTGCGCTGGAGATTGGTCACTCGGCACAGGGGAGGCCTGTAGCAGCACAACGATGCAGCAAAAATAAGGTACTTATATACTAGAAAAATACATTTATACTAGAGGAGTACCTATATACTAGAAGTGTGCATATATACTAGAAGTGTACCTATATACTAGAAGTATACTTATATACTAGAAGTACATTTCTATACTAGAAGTATATTTATATACTAGAAGTGTACCTATATACTAGTAGTATGCTTATATACTTGAAGTATATTTCTATACTAGATGTACAATTACCTATATACTAGTAGTATGCTTATATACCTGAAGTGTCCCTGTGTACTTATATACTACAAGTGAGGATGTTGGGCGGCGTATCGATTTGTGCTCTTGAAGAATACCAGAATTGCTTCGTACAGTGTGAATAGCATGATACAACATAACATGGGTGACATGTGTGTATGAACTACGGATCAGGTATGTATGAAAAGGTATATTACTAGCGTGAAGCTGAAGTTGAATGGAATAGTGGGTGTAATGTGACTGTGCACTCTGTTCCACGTAGATCGTACATGTTTGGATACAGCCTTTATGATGCGCATATGTACAGAACGCTATAGAACTATACATCTGTATATGGAAGTGGAGACCCATCGAATGGTGGTGCTGGGTATCTCCATGAAACGGGGTTGTTGTTGATGTATTCTGCTGAACTGTTTTCCTGCCACACTGTCATAGTCACACTGTATATAGCCTAAGGATTCTGCAGTTACTGTCTGGGTCATACACCATCATGCCGGTAGTCGAATAATGTAACGGAAACTTAGTCTAGTAAGGTCTGTTAATGATTAAGAATGGGCATGCTAGTCAATGGGCTCTACAGAGCCAGGGTAGATATATGTACTACTACAACGGCAGTATGGCTTCGTCGTGCATTCTCGGGTGTACTTGCGAGTCTCAAGCAAACGCTCAAATAGAGACAGTTGTGTGTGTCCTTACGAAACAAGGTAATAGAGATATATATATATATATCACACAACTCATATACTAAATATACTTTCTACATCTCACTCTGCTTCGGGATGCCAATGGGGTGACTGTATTGAGTTAACCTCGTAACTGTATGTACTATTTATACAACACGCGACTCACTTTGCTTTGCCATGCGAATGGTATGTCTTTATGGAGACAGCCTCGTACATGTATATACCATCTATACTACACACAACTCACTCTGCTTGCACATGTATATACCATCTATACTACACACAACTCACTCTGCTTGTACATGTATATACCATTTATACCACACCCAACTCACTCTGCTTGTACATGTATATACCATCTATACTACACACAACTCACTCTGCTTGCACATGTATATACCATCTATACTACACACAACTCTCTCTGCTTGTACACGTATATACTATCTATACTACACACAACTCAATCTGCTTGTACTTGTATATACCATGTATACTACACACAACTCACTCTGCTTGTACATGTATATACCATCTATACTACACACAACTCACTCTGCTTGTACATATATATACCATCTATATTACACACAACTTACTCTGCTTTGAGATGCGGATGGAGCTACGGTACTGGAACTTGATCCCGGTCTGCTGGTGTTAGTGGATATGCTGGGCATATGGAAACTAACAATAGTCTCACTCCGGGCTATACGCTGTGCCGGAGGCTCGTGCGGGCTTGGTAGTGGCTCTGAGAATGGTGTGGCGGTGGTGTCAGTGTACACACTTGACACCCGATGTTACATAGTTATGCTGTCAATGCTAAGGAATGAATATGATCTTTATCGGGCCATTAGATTCAACCAGGTTAATTGTTGGTTGTCCTTGAAGAGGTTGCATATATTAGTGAGAGTGTGCGATGGTGTTAGTATACACACTTGACATCCAATGCTACATAGATATACGGTCAGTGCTCAGTGTCAGTATTCAGTGTCAGTGTCAGTGGCCTATGTAATATGCTCATACCCAATGCGAACAGACATACCCAACACACACACACATTGCTTGCGAATTGGGATGTTAAATTCACTATACAACACTACACGACTCCCGCCACAAGCAACGGAGCAATGCATATCCAACGAATACCACCCCATCGCCTCAAGTAGATAAGTAGATAAGTAAATAGAGAGAACTGAGTGTGCACACGGCTCAGGTAGATAGTCTCCTCCCTGTGATGTAACGAATCCTGATACTAAGTTTATAAGAACCCTGATGTTAAGTTTGTAAGAACCCTGATGTTAAGTTTATAAGTACCCTGATGTTAAGTTTATAAGCACCCTGATGTTAAGTTTATAAGAACCCTGATGTTAAGTTTATAAGTACCCTGATGTTAAGTTTACTAAGCACCCTGATGTTAAGTTTATAAGTACCCTGATGTTAAGTTTATAAGAACCTGATG